GTTGTTATCTGTATGCTCGCTCAGCTTGACTCACCCACTCCAAAACAACTGTATCAGCCACAGCTGCAAGAGATTCATGATTTTATGAGCTATAAGCCCCATCTTTGATTTCTATATTCGACATTGCTTATCAATAAACACTTTTCCGACTTTAATTTGGGGTTTTATGTTAAGAAATGAGCAATAAACTGAGACGGCTTGAGGTAAGATCTGTATTATCCCATTAGGTTCTCCCTGTTGGTGTCCACAGCAGAGATCTGGTAGTTGAGACAAGTAAGTTAGATCTGTCTTGCAGGATGATTTTCATGTGTTCCTCATCAAATGTTCCAAATGGAGAGCCCTGGAAGGCACAGTTTTCCTTTTGTACCTCTTCCATAAGCAAAAACATAATAAGCAAATAGGTAGGTAGTTACACTGCTAATTATAGTGTTGACTGTGAAACTATCATGGGTACAAGTAGTGGGTTTGTGCTGGAAGCTATTGGGAGGTCAAGCTTGAGCCTTTCAGGAAATTTACCTTGTCTCACTGACAGTAGCCTCAGAAGCAAACTGACTTACTGCAAACTGACTTACTGACGTTCTGCAAACGTCAGGAACGTAAATCTGTTCTTTCTCTGCTATGTGGGAAAGACGACCTACATATCCCCAAAATGAACATGCCCCTTCCCATCATTGTATAAGTTGGATGGTTCATGAACTTAGATCTCTTAAAATGGTTATACYTCTACAGTGGATTACAGATAAGCCTAGCTCCTTTATCAAGATGCTCATAATTCCTGACATTTTCCTTAAAGGCGTGTTTCTTAGAGTCATAGAATCTGTTTCCCAGAGTTAAAAAATTATGTCAGAACCTCATTTTTCATTTATAAATCACATATTTCTCAATGGTACTGTAGAGAATAGCTGGAGAGTAAGACCTAAGTGCATCTGAAGACTGAAAGAAATGTCAAATTAAAGAAGTTCAATATTAATGATTTTAAAGCCAGTACCATGATTTTCAGGGGGAAGTGATTTATGAGTTACATATGACTTATGAGTTTACATCTGAAATTCCAAAGACAAACAATTGAAACTGTCACAATTCACACAGGAAGTATATAGCAAAACACAATCTCCAAACTGCAAATAAATATTTCACTGCTGGATCTTCCTTCCTCAAACAAGTGTTCCTCAGCCAAAATGCATTTGGATCAGTTTAAAAAAGAAAAAATATAAAAGAATCAAAATGAATGTTTTATTGTAAAATCATGCCTGCGGAAGACAGATGAACACAATTTACTGGCAAATTCAGCAGGGAATCTTCCCCACTGACCACATTAACATGGAGGCTGGTTGTGCCTCCTTTTTACTTTGGAAAAACTATGCAGGAGATCTCCTTTCAGTATTTAAGAGTCAGGGACATTCCTGGGACTTTCAGAGACTAATATCTTCTCTGCTCTATTTGATTGATGAGAATGAGACAGGTAGCAATTGTTATTCCACTGCAAAAATCCTTATCTGTAAATTAATAGGCAAAGCCAGAATGTGATGAATTTCAGGTCATGACACAAAGGCGCTTTTTGCTTTCCTCCTTAATTGTGGCTTTCAGAAACATAACTTTCAGTGACATGTGATTTGATTTGTATGTTATGTTCTTGATTTAGCTGATCCCTTTGGATGGCCAGAAATTTTATGAAAAACAAGTGTTCCCACAGTCTTTTGATTTCTATGTGTCATAGTAACCAATGGCACTAAATAACAACACTGCCAAAACACATTCAGGACCAGATTGAGCCTGTGGACAAGGGCCAATTTCACAGTATGGGGAAGTTTAGCTAGGAAAAATTAGCAACCATTAATACAAAAAAAAAAAAAAGTCTTGAAACAAAGGAAAACAGTCAAAACAGGTGCAATAACAGTTAATGAAACACAGTCCTTTGAGTGCTCCACACACCAAGATGAACAGAATGAAGACGGTATAAAAGGGTCAAAACATATAGTTATCCCTCAAGTAAAATTTCTCTAATATAATGGATGCCTTTTTCTATCTGTAAATGCTACAACTCTGTACTGCAGTAATACAGTATATTTCTCATGCAGTCTCAGCTGAAGTTTTGAGATTAGATGCTGAGGTTCTTGGCCAAGCATGTACCTGTCTGGATGGTAGTTGTTGTCTCCTATCCATATTCCCGGAAGTCGGCCACATTTCAGGAGTGTGTGCCTTACATTTTCCCCAGTCATACCAATGAAAGGTGAGATGTGAAACACACTGATACCTTCCTCCTGCCTCAAAATATAATATTCCTATGTATCACACAGCTATTTTTGGACAACATGGAATTTCMAGCACTGTGGGAGACAGGGAATGAGCGTCTCTCTCCCCCTTCCATTGCCAGCTTCCATTGCCAGCACTGCCAGCTGCAGAGCAGCCTTCCTTGYGCTCTTCCTCCTTGCTAGGACTGCAGTACAGAGGCAAGCCCAGCAGCACCATATCCCTTCTTGGGGCTGGGACCTGCAACGGTGCAAAATAGCACCAAAGGTCTCTGTGAGTGGGGTTGGGCCAGCCCATGTCAGCACAGAAAGCTGTGTAGTRCTGTTAATGTTGTTGGAGTCCCAACACTTGATCATTTCAAATAMTAATTAGAATAGTGAACCCTTAGAGCAGGATACTGCATCTCATTAACCCCTGTGCCGTTACACAGGGTCTGTTCCATCAGAAGGGCTCACCTGGTACCTCCCTGTGCATGCTGCTTCAGTCACTTCCTAGGCCATTTTCTCAGCACCCTACAAATTTACTGGACTTGGTCTTGCCATACCCTTGTGTGTGCAAGGAATATAGCAGGAGCAGAGCTGGGAAACTCCACTTTCTAATTCCCTGCTGAATTCTGGTTCCTTACTAGAATTCACTTACTAGAATCTGCTTGTTGCCAGAGGATACAACCAAAGGAAACAATCCCCAGAGAGACAACAGGCCTGTTTTATAGCAAAACATGGACACAAAGGAGAAGTCGAGCTCTCCTGCCTGCAGTAAGTTGGGAGCTGTGGTGGCTGATGCCACATTATAGTTCTAGTTGCTGAATGGCAGAGCATTATCAGCTTAACAGGGCAGTGCCAACTGCACCATAGCTCAAGATTGGGACTCCCTCTCCAAAAACATAGAAAGTACAGTATAGAAATTAAAGTTTCCTGCAAAGTGATGATACTGTAGTGCACTACAAGAAAGCATTTCTGTGGCAAGTACCAGGGATAAAGCAGCTGCTTGTTATCTGAATCCAAAAGGCACCTGGGAGTGACTGAAAAGAGTAGAGAGATATTCACATACCTTTTTATAATTAAAGGGACAATGATTTGATCTGGAATTAATATTTGGAAGTGAGCTGTGTGGCTAGGGAAACACTTCAGAATTCACACCTTTAAGTTTTTGATTGCTTTATAGGAGCTTTGTTTTTTTTTTTTTTGGCATGCAGTGTGTATTTGGTGTATAAAGAAATATAGAAGAGTTTGACCTTGAAGGAATTAATCTCTTCTGAGGCATATGGATTTTGAATGGACCAAGACATAATTAGATTTTTAAAATTGCACAGGGCGTGCTCAATCTTTCCCTCAGTGTATAGCTGCAGAAGATGTAGGAAGGATCTCTAGGGAAGAGGGGAAAAAATCTGCTCTTCATTAAAAGTGTCACTCATGATGGAGAAGAGAGAGGTCCTTTGAATCTCACGTTACTACAGTTTGATGTAAGAGACCAGCCATGAGTAAGGAGAAAGCTTCTGATTGTCTCTTGGCCTTGCATTGTTCCCCACTCATTTAGTAGGTGAAGAACCAGATAGCAGCCATGGTGCCACCATAGAATTTATGGAAGGCTTTGGAAATTTAGAATTAGCCTTTTACGTTTTCCAGAAAAAAAATCTATCCACTATATTTCAAGAGTTTAAAAAAAAAAAAAAAAAGCTCATGTAAAACTGAATCATGTAAATCAGGAAGTCTTACAATTGTATAAAGAGCACCATAATAAACAAGGTGAGGAGAGTCCTGTGTCATAAACCCAACATGAAAAACTTCAAGACTTCATCACTCTCTTAGACATCCACCTAATTCAGGAGCAAGTGGGCTGATGCCARTGGCATTAGAGAATTGTACCTTGTTAAACTGAAGAGAAGCTAGTAAAGAAAGCTGGCCTAGACAAATTTACTTTCACTTAGGTCTATATTAAATATGAGAAAATTCCTCATTGTTTGATTTTTTTTTTCTTTCTCCCTATAAAATACTCTGATTGTTCTTTTTTTTTTTTTTTTAATCAAGTGCTATAATTTTTAAAATTTTTTAAATTTTTTAAATTCTCGGTCAAGTAGGTCTCTTTTCCTTTTAAATTGCAAAGTTATCTTTTTTTTTTTTTTTCAGAAGTTATAATCCAGTTGAGAATACTATCTGTCTGACTTATCAGGGGCAAATCCAGACTTGCTCTAAGCAAGGACTGTATTTCACACCACACATATAACAGGCTTGTCTTGATTCCAAATATGTGTTTAAAAGAAAATAATACTAAGAATAAAAGAAGAGTATTGCAGATAAATAAATACTAATTGAAATCAGTGGAGCCAGATTAATTTGCATCAAGTCAGGATCCAAAGTACTCTGAAGAGCCATAAACGGGAATATAAATGGGCATTAATATTTTTTTCCCCAAAACTGTCTTTCGGAGAATAATCACACTACCCAAACACTCTTAATTTAATCRTTCACTAGAGGATGTTACAGGTAAGTGCTCATAATAAACAGTAGGTGTTTCCCTGAGGGCCAAGATAGYTTGCATAACGTGCTAGCTATTTGTTTTCCAGTGTTATAGTGACAGAAAACTGCTACAGGACAGCCAGTTCTAATGAGATGTTTTATAAATGTCTCTTGCTAACGAGAGATCCTGTTTAAGTTCTGAGTTTCAGAGGTTAAAATAATAYAGCACCACCAGTACAGTCACTGCTATGATCCAGCTCCTTTTTGTTCAATTAACTCTTGTATGTTTTGTAGATGGAGATATCGAGGGCCCTTCAGAAGGAGCAGATGTGGCTGTTATTGGAGGTAAGTAGCAGACCATACTTAGATGCACCGTTAGAATTAAAACAGCAGGTTGATTGCTTGTATTTTAGCAAACCCCTACTTTGCTAACAAGACAACAGGAGAGGCGCAATTAGTCCAGTGGGAAACTTGTCCCAGAAGGGCCATTGGCAAGAAAACAAGATAATGAGCACAAACCATATAGTGAGCACCACTGTCTGTTCCTCCTTTCAGGGCAAAATATTTAAGGGCCCAAATCTGTAGTCAACCTCGTATTCCTCATCATTCACTAGGCCAACRTTGTCATCTAATGCAAATTTCTTTTTTCTTTGAACCATGCTCGCTGACACCAGCTGGCCCTTTATTTTTACAGAATACACCACAGTGCATTTCGTGGTGTTCTGTTAAAGTTCTCTCATGCATTTAAACTAAATACAGTTGTCAGAATAAATGAGCAAAGCTATGTTCATGGAGAGAACCCCGTCTTTCTATTTTTATTGTGTTTGTTCATTTCCATGCTAACGCACTAATTTCAGTCATTCACAAGGGGCTATACCAATCATTAGTGCAAATTGGTGAGGTTCTGCTATATTTCCCTCAGGTCTCATCTCCCGTAACTTTAATTTCAGCTTTCTATGAGCAAGTAGCAGGTAAATTGATTTGTACTTAGTCCCTTAGGCTTATTAATATTGTGCTAGATCTAGAGCCTATTAAAGCCTCTTGTGTCGAGGGATTCCAGTGAGGTCCTAAAAATTGATGAAGCCCCCAACACAGCTATGTTATTATTGTAAACCTCAAGTTCTTTATATAAGCAATTTTATTGCTGCTAGCAGAACTTCACTTTCCACAATCAAGCACCATAAAATCTGTGGGATAGCATTACAGGCATATTTTATAAGATAGAGTTATAATTTCAATTAACCCTACTAATGGTTAACAGGAGTCCAAGTCCCTGTTTTCATGCCAATATTTTATCCCTGCCCAGTTTACCGATGCTGATAAATCTAAAGTTTTGGAGATAACAATTCCTGCCCCACACCTTGAATAGAAGAAAAATCCTTTCTACACTCCCTTCATTGTCACTGCAGAATAATAGGCATTTCCAGGAAACAATTCATCTGAGCAGATGTAGTTGTTCAGTTCCAGGAAAAGAGGAATCATCCTCTCTAGTCCATGGAACACTGAGGTAGCCCAAAGGTAGCCCGAGGCAACTAATTCCAATGGAACATTCTATATGGTAGAAGCCATAATTAGTCTAATGAATTTCTACCTATTGCATCCTCACAGGAACTTCACACTCTATATATGGGATTGTCCCTGGGTTTTCCTCTTTCCCAGTGTTGGCTGTTCTGGTGCCCCTTATTGTTCCTTTAATGTATGGTTTACTCCCTTAACCTCTAGCTCACTGAGTTAACATAGGAAGCTCAATATGATAGACATGTACAGAATCACAGCCAAAGAGGAAAGTTTATAAGCAATTTGCATCCAAAAAGTGTAAAAAAAAAAATCACACAAATTGAATAACTAAAATTCAAAATACCTCCTTTAAATTTAGGATTCCTAAATGAACTGTTTAATAGGAGGGAAAAAAAAAAAAAAAAGAGGATGCAGCTCTCAATTTGAAATATGGATTTATCAGTGATAACTGTATTTCCTATAATTTCACATTCCACTGTAGAAAAGAAAAGAAAGAAATGGGCTCTGAGAAGGGAGGACACACAGTGTTTGATGCATAACCTTCCCCAAGGTTTGACTTTACATTCCTTCGGTAGGAGAGCTGCCATTCAGTGTTTGGTCATATGCACATTTGGGTTACCTGCAAAAACTTGTGTCCAGTCAACACATTGCTAGCAATTAGCTTAGGCCAGGAGACAGAGAAGATCTACCCAGAACCCCTTTCTCCTCCCAGGTGTCACTTCCACATTCATTACAATTAGGCTTTTTTAATTAGAGCACAGCATGATCCAGCAGCTTAGAAGTACAGTGCAGTGCTGTAAGCAGATGGCAGGGCTCCTGCTACTTGTTGAAGGTCTCCTAAGAAATATTGAGTGCCCTCTCCTCCTCCTGAAATTGAGTGTATTCAGTGGGATGGGAACAGGTCACCTGCAGACTCCCCTGGGTTTACGTTAACAGAAGGATGCAAAATGTGTCAGGTTTTATATCCTCTTATTTCCTCTTCATTTTGGAATGAAATTGTAGCTTCAATGAGTTCAACCAAATCCAGACATTAATTGAAAGAAACCTTGCAAGATTTCATCCTGCCTTTCCGCAGTGTCTTTACCTAGTTTGGGCTTTGGCAGCATCAACTCATTAGGAACTCATTTCAGGAATCTGCTTTGACCCTGCACAGCATGTGAATATCTTACAGGACATGGACTTTTACTTATTGAATAGCTCAAGTTGTGCTGAGTGTCTGCAAAATAAAGRGAATGTGTTATTCCTGACAAGACATTAAACTGGTTCCTCTCCTCTAGGTGTGATTGCTGCGGTGGTATTTGTCCTCATTTGCCTGTTGATTGTGATGCTCCGGTACATGTACAGGCATAAGGGCACCTACCACACCAACGAGGCGAAAGGAACTGAGTTTGCTGAAAGTGCAGATGCCGCTTTGAAAAATGACCCTGCTCTCCAGGAAGCAGTGGATGAGAGCAAAAAGGARTATTTCATCTGAGAGGCCGGGATTTTCATGGAGATTTCCCCAAGGGAATCAGTCAGAAATACCACATCAACAGAAGTGCTGAGAGGGATAATATGAGGACAGAGGAAAGCATCCTAATTGAAAAGTGCCTCTCTCCTTTTTTTGACATTGGGTTGTTTCTTTTCCTCCACCCATGAAGAACTGGATGCCAGATACTTGCCTGTTGATTTTATTAGCAACACAGCTGGTCTCAGTTGAAATCGATATCAAGTAACAAGAAACAAAATCTCAGTATGAGTGATACACCAAAACCAGATAACGATAGCAAATGTCAAGCCTTGACATTTGGTGAAAATAGCAGATGCCAATGGAAAACATCCTCTTAGAGTTAATGATGCATCCTATGTTGATATTTTACAGTACTACCTGAAATTGAATATCAAATGGACACAGAACAAACATGAAACTAGATAAAGCTGAGGTAGCTGGAACAAAAACATCTTTGTAGTCCAGATATCTCTCCTCCCTCCCCTTAAGTGTGCAATTTTACGGGCACAGGGGAGTTTGTTTTGTTTTTTGAGGGATTTAGAATGGGATATTTTTTGAAATTTTAGAATTTTATATATATAAAAGTCAAAGACACTTCAAAGAAATAAAACTGTCAGAATATGAAAATATCTAAGAATGAAGGATTTATTTCTAACTTGCTCTGCATGACAACTCGTGAACTGCAAAATGATGGAATTTATAGCATATTATGTAATAGTCAATAGACTTACAAATTTGATTACAGTTAGTCGATAAGTTCCCTACATGCCTGCATAAATAGATATTAAAAGGTAAAGCATCTWGTTTTGAACATGCCTTTCAAAACAATGRAGATCAGCTAGATTTTTTTCAAGTAAGATATTTTTGCTTGAGTATTTATTTATTTATTTTGCATTGGAAAATTGCCTTTGAACACCTGCCAGTAGGATTTTAGATTTTTACAGGGGGAGGAATTCACTTCTGGCACAGAATCATTTACAAATGCAACCACAAAAAGCTGCTCTAAGGGTTTGTCTTAATCCCAGTGCATTGTATTGATATCTCCCTCTGCAAGGCTTCTATATATCCTTTGCACTGTGCTAGATAGGAGAATTACACCAAATACCAATGCTTTAATATAAATAAATAAACAAATTAGTCATGGTGGGTCGCATGAAAAGATTTTCTTCCTTTCATAAGGCTCAACGGAGATGAGTTTCTTTACCCTAGTAAGATGTCTTCCTAATTTAAGCCCACAATTAGCTCCGGAAATAGGATAATAACTGCACCTGTTCATCCCCAGCTGCAATGGTGCCCTGGACTACTGAAAATAGAAGAGGAGGAATATGTTATAACAGATAGGATGCTGATGAGCTCTGCTCAACTTGATATGCTTTTTCCTGTATTTTGATCTATATGTGTGTGTGTATATACACACACACACACATATACACACACACACATACACACACACACACACACATATAGATCAAAATATATGTATATAAAGTCATCTACAACCATGCTTTTAAGACGTTGTTGATGATCACGCATACTCACTTCCTGGCACCAAAAATTGGGAAAGCTTCTGGACTCCAGCATATAGCATTCAATGCCAGCTACATAAATGGTAAAGGAAGGACAAATCTGAACAAGAAAAGACACTGAGGACCCAAGTGGAGTTGATGAAGAATTGGAATATTTTTGTCTGTTCAATCATAGTCTCAGTATTTTCTCAGTACCTGCACAAGGTGGACTCTGAACTATCCTCAGAATCGTAGTRGCTTAAATTTTGGCTAATTCTGCATGTTTGTATTTTAACCAAAGAGTAACAAAGTTGTGCCAAAATTACTATATGTTTAAGATTTTTTTTTCATAATATACTGTTGCTCAAGTACACTATATTTTGTGACTAGTACAGTATAAAATGCACATAAGCCAGCACTAGCAGAGCTCATACATTTTAGATATTGTGCACTTGATTATTTCCTTCTAAAATATATTACTATTTTAATGCTTTTACTACTTTTGAAAAAGGAATTTGGCATTATTTTTCTGAGACAAGTTTTGGCAGAAATTTACTAATCTTAGCTATAAGACTGAGTTTATAAAACAGAAGATTCATCCCTCACCTTCCAGTTGAATAAAAAAAGTAAATATTTTCCCTGATGTGAGATGAAACAAGGTGACTTGTACCCTGACACATCTCTCAGAGAAGGCACAGGACCACACAAAATCTTTCCTTGGTTGGATCCTTGATAAGGGAACCTCGGTAGGATTCCCTGATCCTACCAGGGCCTACCAAGGACTGCTAACCTTTCAGCACCTTCAGTTCTGTTTCATATATCCAGACTCACATGATCTAAGCTTGACTGTTTACTTAACTATGCTTTATTTTATATSATTCAAGTGACAGGCTGCAACAAGTTAGGACAATGTGTGAGGGACATTGGCAATTAATTCCTCCTTCTCTCCTCAGTCATAAAATTCTCTGCTTTTTACAACATGATCCTGATGATTAGACTTAGAGAACTGTGAGGAACCTAAACAGAGGCAGAGGAATCTTCATCTGTCTTTTTTGTTTGTTCTTTTTTTTTTTTTTTAATATAGTGTGGACAAAGCCAAACAAGTCATGTTCACTAATGATGTGGGAACTACAGTGGCCAGATTTTCTAGTGATATAAAATGATTTCAGTGGAGCTCAGCCAATTCTTACCAGCTCAGCCAGCCCCAGACTTTCTGTTATTGACTCCAGTAAATCTGAACTGAATGCAGCTACTGGGCTTTGACTACTTCCTTTCTTAGTAACTTAATTAAATCTCTTTATCCCATTTTCCTTATTCATCTAGGCAAACAAACTGTCGAAGCATACAGCAACAGCTCCCCAATTAGTAGTGAGCCACTTTGGATGTTTGTGGAGCAGTAACTCTGGCAAGAAGGAGAGTTTCAGTCAGTTTGCCTTTTCCAGTGTCTCTTCGGACTTTACAAATTTAGAAAAGACTGGAGCACACTGAGTAGAGAGAAGAGCTGGTTTATGAGTATTTTTTGTTTATTTGTCTTTTTCAGGACAAATTTTGCCTTGTAATGGAGAGAAYTCACATCATCTAATAACTGGCAGAGCTCTAATGGCCTGAGCATGCTGTTTTTCACTCATACAATAACTCCAGTGTCTTGAGTCATTCAGCCTAGCTGTGAAAGAGGGCACTATAAACTTCCTATAACTTTTAGGGCTAATTAGCAAAACCCCCTCCTGCAAGCCCCATGCTGCACTAAAATAAACACTATATGCAACATTGAGATGTCTCAGGTGCTAGCCATAGCTCTTAATCAACAATGATTAATTGGTATATAACAGTTTTCTTCTCAAACGGGAGAATTAAGGAAACTCTTTCATTCCCCCATCCCCTGCCCAAACTTTATCCCCAGTGTCTCCGGTGCTACATTCCCAGTTCTCCCGCAGTTCTCAGATGCCCCATCTCTCGACACCACCAGTCCTGCTACCTGGGCAGGGTCCCCAGCTGCCTTTGCATGGCACCCCCATGGCAGCTCCTGCACAGGACCCCACAGGACCCCCACACCTCCTGCACACACACTCCCTATCACCACAGGGATGTCCATGTTTTCATCTACGCCCACACTCCTCTTTTGCCACCTTACTTCTTTCATCTGGTGTCTGGACACGTGCTGAAGTTGGACGGATGCATACAGTGACAGTCCAGTAAATCAGCATCTCCACAGTGAAAAACATCCAGGATAAAAAGATAAGCTTGGCCTTTTGTTTATTTATTTATTTTCAGCRGAGGCACTAATTTTGTCCCTCTTCACTACCCAAAATTTAATTTTGAAAAATGACCAGTGAGTTGAACTGAGGAGACTGATTTATAGCATGATCACATATGCCAAGTTTTCATGGAAAACAAGGCTGAAAATAGTACTGCAAGCTCCCCTAGTTAGTTAAATTTACTGCTAGAAACCTCTAATGAACGACAATCTCTTGAGCAAACCTGTGTTGTTCTGATGCCCTGTTGCTCTGTGAAAGCCTGTTGAAAACCATTTTGCATAAAAAGCCACAGTGTTGATTAGAAAGTCTCTGTTCCCAAGTCATTTTTTAATGATGCACAAGAAGAGTTTGCATCAAATTGATCAATATTTTCTGGGCTTGGAAGGGAGAGGATTAGTATGGAATTGTAAGAACACTGGACATTTTTTAAGATATATGTGGAAATGATGAGAGTTAAACCTAATATTTCTGAGATACTGGCGAGTTTTCAGAGTGGGACCTTAGAGCTTTCAGATCCTCTCAAAGAAAGAAAATCTTTGTGAGGCGAAATGAATCTGCTCTTAAACCACCTTTTCTAGTCAACATTAAGTAAGCCTTGAGAACAGATTACAGATACACAGTATTCTACCATTGTGCCTTAACCAGGTATGCACTGGACTTAACCAGGAACAATACAGGAACTGTGTTTTTTTCTCATTTTTGGAGGAGCCCTGTGCTGTCCTCCTCTGCACATAAGAACTAGTGCCTTACCAGCATTGGCTCCAGTGGCAGCAGTGCAGCTCAGCAGCCTAATCCTGCCCAGAAGCAACTAGTCCCAAGTGTGTATCTGACTACCCATTTTTGGACCCARTATTCACTTATTTCTAGAGCTTGGCCGCTATCATTCCAGATGTTCCTAGGGGCCAATCTGCCATTGCACATTAACGTAGTCCTGGGAAGGGTTTAAACAGCTACTATATGTGTACTTTCTTTTTAGAGAAAACAGGACCAAATTACTTTCAGAGACTATTAAAAATAATACCAAAGGATCTTTCAGAGACATCAATATTGATTTTTCACTTAAATCAAGTTTAGAGATCACTAGGCTAACAGCAGCAAGGGAGAGAAGAAGGACTCTTTGCTTTTAATAGGGAATGCAGAAAAGGTGTTGAAACATTTATAGAAGGAAAAGCAGGGGAAATAATGCTATCTAGGGACTATCAAGCCTGCAAGGATTCCTCACAGAATACTGGAAAGGCTGAGGCAAGATGTAAATCAGTAAACAGATAAAGGAGAGTAGGTAATTAAATGCCAATGGAGAATGAGAGTACTTTTGCATCAAGTAAAACAGAAATTACTGCTTGGAGAAATCAAAGTGTGTTTGCTGAAGGTAACTGCTGACTTCAGATTTCTGTGAATTACATGAGGTGTTTGAACTCCTTGCATATGCCAGTCCAATCAAAAAATGCTGGTAACTACAAACCAAAAGAGCACCCATGTTACATGAATTGAGCTGTTTATAGTCTTCTCTAAAATCTGAGTTTTGCACTTACAAAGGCTTTGTGTGCTTAGAAAATGCACAAGCATCACAGAAGCCACTTAAATAAGACAGAAAAATAAAGAACTGCTGAACAAGCAGTGAACACACAGCTGAGGTCTAGAAATGCAGGTAGCGGATAAAGGAAGCTAACAGTATTAAAGCAAAAGGATCAATGGTGAGTAAAGATTCTAATTATGCTAGAAAGAAATTAAACCCATGTTGTAGTGATGGCCCGTCACTATTT